TGCGCGGCCACCACCTCACCAGCGTTGAGCCGGATCATCCGGACGAGGAACATGCCGTCACGGCGAAGGAAGATGGAGGCGAATCGGAAGGCCTCCTGTTCGTCATAGGGGATCAGATCGTCACCCAGATCAATGTACTTCGCAACGTAGTTGGCCTCTCGCGAACGACTGCACAGACGAATCAACCAGAGAATCAGACTGATGAAGGTGATGATGACAGCGGCAAGGATCCACCACCACAGGAAGATGTAGATCTTCTCATTGAGCATGTTCACGGGCAGAGCACACTGAGCGGTGACACCGTTGGTTTGAACACCGAGCAGTTTCATCTGTGTGAAGCAGAAGCCCACGCGCGGGAAGACCATGGTCATCTCCCAGTCGTGGCCTTTAATAATGTTGTCCAGAACCTGGAAACCGAAAGGTCGATTGTCATCGTGGAAGCCCAGGAACCTCTGCATGAGGAAAAGCTGACCGATAGCATTGACTAGGTAGAGTAGCTTGACCAGCATGTAGGCCGCCACGATGAAGGTGCCACGGTGTTCACCCAACATTGGCAGGGGCCTGCGTCCCAGCCGGCGTCTCTTGGGGCTGTCGCTGGAATCTTCCAGAATGTTCACCTGCTCTGGGTGTCTGTGCGAGAGGAGTGAACGCGAGGCTCTGAGGCCAGTCCGTTTCTGTTGCTATAAAGAAATCCGGACAAAATGTGTGTTATTGATAGGTTATGTGGCCGTTAGTCGCAGTAATTAATCCGAATTTTCCTTAAACCAGACAACTTACTTTAAGAAACCGGTCGTTCTCGCCCGCAGTACCTTCTTGGTACATTAGAGACAGATTTATTTTACAAGTAAGTTTTCTTCCCCAATGTGGTCGTCGTCATTCAGCTTTTATAAGGCCCCAGTACTGTGCAATTCGGAGTTAAATTTCACAAATGTCAGGATATGCCTGCATTTGTCACAACAAAAAACCTGCGTGCTAACTCCTCAAACTAGGAGGAGCCTTATCTCGTCTAGTCATAATAGTAGTGAAAATTAGATTCCCATGTGGTTAGTCAGAAGGAAAAAAGGGCGTTCACTGGGAGAGGTTTACTTTGTATCTGACCTTTCGGGTAGTTGTATCCTCTACCCAACAAATGGC